AGGCATTTAGCTACCACAACACACAATTTTTCCCAATTTAATCCGAACCTTAAACTTTTAGCTAGCAAGTCAAATATTCAGCATTTCTCAATCAGTAGCATTTTTAAGAATAAACTTCAAAAATGCAAGACATAATCAACCAACAGATTCAATTCTGTCCTCTAGATTTTTCATGAGGCAAATTATATTATTGAGCAACTTTTATAATTTGATTTAGTAAACTTTACTTTTTACTTTCAAGCCGCTCTGGAAAACCATATTTGAGCCTTGCAAAACAGGTTCTGGCCTACCTGGTCTTTTCAGATGTAAATTGACCACATTCTTTAAGATTTTGCTACAGGCGGGAGGTGACTGTCCCCTTCTTCCATTAAGAAAAGCTTTCTTAATTAACAAAGGACCAGGTTTTTTTTTACCTTGAACAACCTTTAAAAACTGTTCTTTATTATGGAAATGCCAATCCTGCTGCTAAAATATAGCCAGCATCTTTTTTCCTTTGGGTAAAATTTGCCATCTTTCCTAGGAAATAATCAGTCTTGGGGTTTTATTTTGTACATTTATAAAGAGATTCCAGCTCAAAACTCTATCTAATCCGAAATCAGACAATGCGCGCATTAGTTTCAAGCCACTTTTCTCTTTACACGTGAACAGAAATCCCAGACGCATTTTTTAAATTTTGTAAAACTTTTCAATTACGAGAAGGAGACTTTAAATTATTTGCTACTACCACCAAGATCTGCACTTGCGGCGGCTCCAGCCGGGCCCACACCCTACGCTTCAAGGCTCTCCTCAGTGACCCTGGAAAACCACACCTGAGGCTGGCAAGCAGGTTTGGTCCAGCCCTTGACTTTAAAAGGACCATAATGCTTAAAGGAGTAGTTTGAGCCTGTCCCATAATGTCCGTCCAGTAAGTGCACAAAATAAAACAGAAAAAAACACAAACACAGACAATTAAAGGGCCCCAAAAAAATACAGCCTTCCAACTCCATGGAAGCAAACTCAAAAGCTAGACCATGGCCTTATGCCAAACCAGCAGGAGCAACCCGCCTCATCTCAAATCCGTGAGGAGAATACAAGTCCCTCATGAGGGGAATATGCATCCCTCCTGGGGAGCAGAACGTCTTCCGACTCTCCCCACCCGTGGTCCTTCAGCAGTGCGTCCACCTAGACCTCTTCGGGCACTACAGAATTTCAGAAGTGAGCTCACACAGGACAGAACATATAACACACAGAACAGAATACACAACACACAGACACTTACTGCAGTCAGTCAGACTCTCCAGATCGGGGGTCCCTCAAGGGTCTTGGAGATCCCAGCGAGCCCCCAAATGTTATGCCCAGATTTCAAGATCCCCAAAAGACCACCAGGGAGCCAGCCAAGTCTGATGCAAAAGCAAAGAGTCTTTATTCGAGCTAGCTCGGCTCCCCGACCACACTCACCGACGCAGCGGCAAGTGGCAGAGAGAGAGCTAGCCCTGTGTGAAGAGGGGTTTTATAGGGGTGTGGAGTAAGGGGAGGATAGAGGACTGTGGGCCCTGCCAATTGGCCGGGCATAAGTCGGTGTGGTCATATCTATGGCACGCACTTTCATTGGTTAGTTTAAAGAAATCCTGGGTGTGGCTAGCAGAGGCTTGGGCTTCCAGGAAGAAGGTCCTTGCCGAGCACATGGCTGCCCAAAAATGGAGGATCCAGGGTAAGATGGAGGGCGTAGTCCTCGCCCTTTCAGCAAGGACCAGGTGGCAGACTGTGACCTAAGTCGGTGCTGGGCACATTTAAAATAGAACCAAGTTTACTGCTGCCCCGTGAACCCTCACCAGACTGACGCCGTGCGCTTCAAGAGGAGACAAGAAGCCCCTTCCATTTGGTGAGAGAGCATCCTGCCTTAGAAAGCTCAGGAGCAAGGACAGGGCTTAGCCAAGGGAAAGCATGACCAGGTAAGGTTCCCTGGTTCCGATAAATACATATATTTATTTCTCTTCTGACATCAATTCCCCAATATGCCCAAAGCTCTCAGTGCACCCCAAGCCCCGATGCCTAGCACATGGGTCTTCACAGGAAAGGGGAGCGCCAGGCTGCCCCTGGGGACCATGGCGGAGGACATGAGGAAGGGTTGCCACCCGCCTGGGGCTGGGGAAGCCGAGAGTAACAGCCCCGTCTCCCACAGGAGACGCAGGCCCAGGTCCGTGAAGGTGTCTCCCCAGAGTCCCCCAGATACTTCAGCTCAGACCCTGGCCAAAGCCTAGGAAGACCAGCCGTTACCCAGACATGCGGCCCCTTCAGATGCAATCAGACCACCAGGCTGCAGAGTTCCGTGAGCAGAGGGAGGCAGAAGCGCTGGGTCACTACGATAATCCTAGAAAATCCGTAAGATACCACCTAATTAAGTTACAAATCTTACCTTTGGTTGTGCATGTCTGGATATAAGACATGACAGAAAAGAATCCTCAAATCCCAGGGCATCAGGGCAGAAAACCTCCAATTAGCACACAGACTATTCATACACACACAATAGTTTAAGCCAGCGCCTGAGCTGCACAGGGGAGTGGTATTTAACATGGAAAACAAGAAAACGAGAGAGTAATTCACATGCTTGTCCCTGCTGGCACCGGGTGACAGAGGAGGGCACGGGAGTCCCGACACCTGTCGGAGAGGGTCACACAGGGAGGGGAGCCGGCCCTCCCCACTGCTGGGCAGTATTGGCTTCAGGGGACACAGACCAGAGGGTGATGAGGGCCTGGGGTGGGGGCGGGACGGGCTAGAAGAGGTCAGTGGGGGGAGAGGGGACATATGTAACACTTTCAACAAGAAATATTTAAAAATAAAGTTCCTTAATTTAAAAAGACACATAGGTGCAGGTAACAGGAAATGATAAATTTGAAAGTTAAAATGCAACCCATGAAATTCATCCCATACTTCTTCAGGCTGGTTCTCTCTAACATCCAAGCTCACTGTGAGAGTACTAAGCCCAGGAAGCTGCTGGAGGAAATTGCAGTGATGGCATCTTCACCCCCTTGGCAGAGTGGTTCCCAACCTACCAACAACTCATTGCCTTTCTCTTCCTATATCTGCCAAGTTACAAAAACAAACAAACAAAAAACCCACAACTCATGTCCTTCAAAAGGTATTGAATTTCAAAATGAGTAATTTCTTTCTAGATCTGGTGAAAATTCCAAGCTTCACCCTGGCCAGGTAGCTCAGTTAGTTAGAGCATCGTCCCCATATGCCAAAGGTGCAGGCTCAATCCCCAGTCAGGGCACATACAAGAATCAACCAACGAATGTATGAATCAAGGGAACAACAAATGAATCTTTCTCTCCCTCCCTTCCCCTTTCTCTCTCTAAAAATCAATCAATAAAAATGAAGTGAAATTTAAAGCCTTCAAAAAAAATTTAAAAGAACATTCCAAGCTTCTAATCATGGCGTGGTCCTTCCAGTGACCAGCCTCACCCAGGAGCCCACCCAGAGTCACCTCCTTAGGACAAAGAAACACCCCTGTCACCCAGGAAATCACAGGTGTCAGGAGCCCTGAACCGGGAGCCAGGGCGGAGACCAGTCTGTGTCTGCTAGTACCTCCCAGCGCTTCAAGCAGACAGAGCAGAGGACCAAGCAAGGCACAGGATCCAGGCCCAGACACCTGGCCTCAGTCAAGTCTTTCCAGCTCTCTCCAGCACCCTGCGAGCCCCCCCCCCCCCCCCCGCCAGGGCCCACTCCTCACGGGCACAGAGGACCCGTCTCTGCTGGGCCTGGCATGAGTGCCTGAGTCACACAGTATGAGCCTAACGAGAAGTTGTTGGTTTATAGCATCACATTTTGGAGTGATTTGTTTTGCAGCAAGAGATAAGAGGAACTGCTTAGTAGACACCCTCCTTGGGTTTGTTGCATCATTTCACAACGTACATCAATAGGTGACATTAGCCCCAGCTGGGTGGCTCAGTTGGTTGGGTGTCCTTTGTGCACTGAAAGGTCACTGGTTCAATTCCTGCTCAGGGCACTTGCCCAGGTTTCAGGCTAGATCCCTGGAAGGGGGCATGCAGGAGGCAGCTGATCCATGTTTCTCTCTCTCTCTCTCTCTCTCTCTCTCTCTCTCTCTCTTTATCAACTTTTTAAAAATGTCTCTATTAATCCTCACCCGAGGATATTTTCCCATTGATTTTTCTAGAGAGTACAAGGGAGGGAGGGGGAGAGAGTGAGAGAAAGAGAGAGACACACAAACATCGATTAGTTGCTTCCCACAGGTTCCAGGGATGGAACCTGCAACTGAAGTACATGCCCTTGATCAAGAATCTAACCCAAGACCCTTTGTTCCATGGGCCGACACTCTAGCCACTGAGCAAAACTGGCCAGAGCAAAATATCTCTATATATAAAAGGCTAAGCAACCATCCAACCGTCCAACCAGTAGCTATGATGTGCACTGACCACCAGGGGACAGACATTCAACACAGGAGTTGCCGAGCTGTGATGACTTGGCAGTGGCGGTTCTCAGGTGATGCACCCCGAAACCAGAGAGGAGGGAGTCTGATTCCAGGGTGCGTCACCTGAGAACTGCCCTCTCACAATCTGGGGCCCCTTGGGGGATGTCGGAGAGCCGGTTTCGGCCTGAACCCTGCAAGCCAGGCCGAGGGTCCCCAGCAGGGACCCCGCTCACTCCGCAGACACCCTTTGAGCCACACGGCCGCCCCAGGTGCAGCCAGCCAGCCAGGGAGGGACTGCAGGAGGTTGGCTCCAGGGCGTGTCCAACCCATCTCGCCCAGTCCCACCCTGTCAGCCACCTTCTAATTAATTTCCTTTCGATGTGCACGAATCCGTGCACCAGGGCACTAGTTTAAAATAATAAGAAGAAGAAGTTGACATTAGAACATGTGGTACTTCCCAATGCTGCCGTGGAAAGAAATCTTGATCAGGAGGATGTGTGTTATAATGTGGTGGTGATCTATGTTCCCAAGCACAGTGATATTTTAATGTTAGAGTAGAAAGCAAAATGTGTATTTTCTCTTTTCTCAGGTATCTGAGATGTTATTACTGGGCAGTCCGAAGTTTGATTACCATTGGGGGTCTTCCAGAACCACAAACTTTATTCGAAATTGTGTTTCAGCTGCTGAACTTTTTCCTGGGAGTTTTCGTGGTCTCCAGCTTGATTGGTCAGGTCAGTCAAGATGAGAAAACCAGGTACATGATGCTGTCACTGGGAAAGCGTGTGCACCTCTGTCAACTTCGCAGGAAAAATCAGAATCTGTGTGGTGCTCTTTTCAAACTAACCCTCATCTATGTTCGTGAATCAGAGGAGGATGGGATGGGCCTTTCTGTTTTCAAAGCATCAAGTCTATTGGGGACCTGTGTGCACAGAGCGTTGGGTTAGACTCACAGAGAAAGGCACATTTCCAAAGTAACTTCCTACTTTTACCTGAGCTCCCCCAAAACCTTTTACTTAAACATCAAGTATTGCCATTGACCCAGGCTAGCCTGGCCAGTGTGGGTTGGTGTTGAGGGTTGATCTATAAACCAGGAGGTCACAGTTGGATTCCAGGTCAGGGCATATGCCCGGATTGTGGGCTAGATCCCCAGCAGAAGGCATGCAGGAGGCAGTCAATTGATGATTCTCTCTCATCATTGATGCTTCTCTCTCTCTTTCCCTCTCCCTTCTTTTCTCTCTCAAATCAATAAAAGTACATATTTTTTAAAAGGGGGGGAGGCTAAAATCCACTTCAGAGGTCATATAATGGGGAGGTCAGCAAATGCCGCCCAAATTAACTTAATTAAGAAGCCATCAGTTCATCAGTGTTCATTGTGGCAGCTCCTGTCTTTGTTCTCAAGGAGCCACAGTCTCGAAGGAAAGCAAAGCAGATGCATAAGTAACTATTGCGAGGTGGTTGGCATTTGCAAGAAACAGAGCCCAATATCTTCACGGATTCCCAGATTCACAAGGAACAAAAAGCTCAACAGCAGAGCATCTGCAGAAGTTACACCTCTCAGAAGGTACTTCACAGTGCACATTTGAGAGTAAAAAGCCATGTTGAGATCTGTGTGCTGGGGAGAGTCAAAGAAAATCACAGAGTGGTATTCCCGCTCACCTCACTCACCGTGGTGTGAATAAAACCCATGGTGTAACAAAACTTAGCAATAAGCACTATTCTCTGTAACACCTGAAGCTGACCACCCATAGTCAACACTCAGTTCCTACCTCCATGTGTGGCAAGGACTTGCCCTCCTTAAGACCAGAGGGAAGTTGGAAAACTCTGTATTCGCTCAGAAAGGGGGTGCTTCCCAGGAGGTTCCTTGGAGGAGAATTCGTTGAAACATCTTAAAAAGCAGGTAAGAGCCGGTACTTCCAGGTGGGTGGTTTCATCCATCTGATGGGCAGTGATGAGCACAGGCTGTGCTGGGGAACTAGAGCAGGTACCAGGAGGATGGAGGGACACCTGTGACTAAGGTTAGAGGTGTGTGTAGGGATGAGCTGGTTTAGGGCTCTGAATGTTCAGGCAAAGATACTGACTTTATCCTAAAAGAAATGGGAAGTCGGCCAGGGGAGGATTTTGAACAAAGAAGAGATTCATGAAAGATTAGCCAGGCCGTAGCCAGGCCACTTGCATCTACAGCATCTCCGCGTGGCCCGCCGCAGCAAGCGCTTTCCCACACTCGTGCAACCGTGCAACCGAAGCAGCGGGGAGGGCGCCATTCCGGTGCAGGGTGACCGCGAAGCAGCCCTCCTGGTTGCACACAGAGAACCTCAAGAGCCCGCAGGCAGGTCACCTCGAGGCGAGGCTGGTGGGAGACCTTCAGCCGGCGGAGAGCACATTCCGCACGTCGAGTGTGTGTCACAGACCCTGCTTCGCATGCATCAGCGGGACCCTGAAGGCGAGGCTGAGATCTTGCTATTGGGTCGGCCTCCTTACCAAAAGGATGTGTCCAAGATGATCATGAACTTGGCTCGCTATCACCGCCAACTCCGGGCACAAGGCTCGTGGACGAACGCTGCCCAGCAGGCCGAGCCGCAGAATTCTCTGCTGCTGTCCGGGTGGCTGCGGTCCAGGCCTCCCCCGGCGCTGTCCGCGAGAAGGTGACCCAGTGATCCCCCGACACTGTTCAAGAGAAGGCGACCCAGCTGTTCCCCAACACAGTCTAGGAGGCGACAACCCAGAGCTCCTCCAGCTACCCAGAGCCCGGTTCCCAGGTTATGAAGGCATTTCGGGGCCCGGAGTGCGAGCCAGGCAAGGTTCAAGTGAAAACCCGTGTCTGGAGCCTTATTCTAGGTCCTGCTTCTGCCAGAAGCTGGGGAAGGTAAAGAGTGGTATGGGTTGTTCTTGGTTTCCCCTCCCCACCCCCATGTTAAATGTTTGCAAACACAAATCTAAAAAGTTGTAACAAAAGAATCAAATTTCCTTAATAAAGAATTGAATTATCAAAAAAAAAAAAGAAAGAAAGAAAGAAAGGTTAACCAAAATATAGTATTAAATTGAAGGGGTGGTACTTTTTGAAATGTAGGTTTTATTATTACTTAGGTAAGGTGAGGCCAACAGACCAGGATGCAATTGGCATCAAAACATCGTTTTACAAACAGATCCAAGAGGACGGGTCACACAGGTGGCCGCAGGAGGCAGGGCCAGGGTGGGAGCAGGTAAATGGGGTTAGGAGTCAGGTGATGTTGTGGCTCTGAGGAGTGGGAGCTGCCTGGAATAGTCTGGCCCCGCCCTGGGGTGAGGAAGGCAGGCAAAGAGTGAAGGGGCTGTGAGTGCCCAGGAAGGAAGGCTCAGGCTGGTCAGTCTGCATCTGGAAGGTGCACACCCCGGATAGTTTTTTGCCAACTCCAGGAATTAGCTAACTCTGGAAGGGGTGGTCCCCATATATCAAAGCACCAAAATACAGAAAATAAAAAGCATGGTCAATGCAATTACACGGGAATATGGCAACTCCAGCCTGAGCCTGGTAACAGAGAGGAGGGAAGCTGTGGAAAGCATTTGGGTTTGAGAAGATGAACACCAAGCAGTTAACAGCTGTGCATATGAAGGAGAACCTTAGTGGCTGGGAGGTTGCATTAACGATGATTGGAAGTCACAGGTAGGTTTCGAGAGAAGTACAATTCAGATTCACATGTGTAATGTATGCAGTCATAAGCTGCAGCCATGTAATGTACTATTGGTACTAACAGCAGAATCCAGCATGTGCTCGGCACTCTCCATGTCCAAGGCAATGTTTACACTATTCACCACGGTCTGGCTCCAGGTCAGTATTCTTGCTACTCAGATGTGTCCTCAACCAGCAGCAGAGTCTCCTGGGAAAGTCAGATTCAGGCTGGACACAGGCCAAGACCCAAGGAGCGGACGTCTTTACTGTAAGAAGACCTTCGGGTGGTTCCTGTGCACTGGCGGTTTGAGAAGCGGTGCGTACACCCCACCCCACCTGCCTTTCTGTTGACAGAGATTCCGACAGGAACGGGGAGGAATGCCTCGCTGTTGGAAATGCAGAACCAGAGCCCCAGGGCAAGACTGAGGCAGGAGGTGGAGGCTGTGCCTTGAACTCTCAGCGTGAGCAAAGGTGATGAGAGCTGGACACACACCTAGAAGGGCCTGGACAGAAGAATGGCTCGTTCACAACCCACCTATAACCAAGACATGCCACGGTTTACTGCAGGCCTCTACCCTTCAACCCCAGAGACCCACGCTCCCGCTCACGCCTCACCCCCCCCCCCCCCTCACCGGGAGCACAGGATGGATTCCCGTCAACCTCAACTCCTGCACCAACAAACCCAGCACATGAGCCACTCAGATTCCTGTCGCTGCCAGTGCTGGGCCTTCAACACGGCTCGATAATGCTTTTAATGGAACTTGGTTCCCAATTTAAAACCCTATTAAATTTCCCACCCAGCCTCCGAGGGCTCGGTCATGGTCACCATTTGTCAAGAGCAGCTTGGAGGAAGGAGTGAGGGAAGGAGGCCGCTGCGGAGCGTTGGGAAGAGATCCCGGGAGTAAGTCAGGCTGAGGCGCAGGTGTCCAGTTGCTCAGAGCTGACAAGTACCAGGGCCTAAGAATTCTTTTTTTAAATATATTTTTATTGATGTCAAAGAGGAAGGGAGAGGGAGAGAGAGATAGAAACATCAGTGATGAGAGGGAATCATTGATGGGCTGCCTCCTGCACGCCCCCTGCTGGGGACCGAGCCCGCAACTCCCGCATGTGCCCTTGACTGGAATCAAACCTGGGACCCTTCAGTCGGCAGGCCGATGCTCTACCCACTGAGCCACACCAGCCAGGGCGAGCCTATGATTCTGAAATGGCATGTGAGGAAGGCGTCCCAGGAACAGCCCTTTGAGCGGACCTCAGGGAGGAGCCATTTCTCCTTGAGCAGGAAAGGCTCGGCTGCAAGGAGGACTGAGCCCGGCCAGGCGGGTGGAAGTGGGCCCCCTCTTCCGCCCCTGCTAAGCCCCCCATCAACGCCAGTTTCCACCGCTGGCTTCCCTCTGTGTGAGTCCAGCTGCACTGTCTGTGCTGAGGCCGAAGGTTAGCTTTCACCTGCGGGGTCTCAAGGAGCCCACCGCCCCGCACCGAGGCTTGCAGCGCCTGGTGCTGCGCCGGGGTCTGCAAGTGCAGCTTCTGCCCGGCGCCTGGAGCAGGGTGGGGCCGCCCAGGAAAGCCAAGGCTGCGGGCCCAGGGGCTGGAGCCCCGACCGGCGAGAAATTGAAGAGGGGGTTCAGGAAGACCCCCAAACAGACCAGCCAGGCCTCCCGGGGAGCCGGCTGGGGTGGCACACCTGGCGCGCACGCAGCAAACCACCCGCCTCCTGGCGGCAGTGCGCACGCGCAGAGAACTGGTGCGGCCACGCCCTTCACGCGGCTGGTCCCCGCCGCCCGCGGGAGAAAAGACAGCGCACTGTTCGTTCGGGTGAGGACCTGCCCAGTGTTTGATGTCAGCGCTGGGAACCGGACCAGAATCGGGTTAGAAGTCCAGGTGCCAGGAACGGGGTGCGGGCCGGCTGACCGGGCTCTGCTTCCAGATGCGCGATGTCATCGGAGCCGCCACGGCTGCGCAGAACAACTTCCGGGCCAGCCTGGATCGCACCGTCACCTACATGCACTCCTACGCCATCCCCAGGCGAGTGCAGGCCCGCGTCCGGGCCTGGTATGAGTACACGTGGGACGCGCAGAGGATGCTGGGTAAGCGGGCACTCTCGGAGGATGCTGGGTGAGCGGGGCAAGTTCCTACATGCCCCACCGTGTCCTGTGACGGGCGTTCAGGGGGCCGCGGGGAAGCCACCGGCTTGGAGCAGGAGGTTGGGAAACAGCTCAGTGACCGCTAAGTGCCACTGACGGGCCAGGGCCTTTGTGTGTTTTTTCGTAACTACCCAGCCCCTGCTTACTGGTTCTGCAGATCCCGGGAGAGAAACACTGATTTTATTCCGCAGCAGCCGGGGACAGGTGCCCCCGCATTGCCTCATAGCATTTGGGAAATGGGGTGCCTTCAACCCCACTTAGGACACAGGGAATGGGGGCCCCCAACCGAAAACGTTGGCCAAGGGCTCAAGAGCCAGCAGATCCCTGCGTGGCCCCTGAGGGCCCTGGGCCACCACTGCCTCCTCCGAGCGCAGCACTCAAACCAGCTCCGGGCAGCTGCGCAGAGACCCGCGAGGTCCTGGGCGACTGCTAGCCGGATGCTGCGTCACAGTCATGATGAGACGACATAAAGCAGAAGGTGATGTGCTCATTGACATAACCAGATTCAACTCTTAGTTTGTTCCCTCCCATATAAAAGGGGGGAGTTAGTGCCACTGAGAAGCAAAAAAAGTGTTTAAGTGCAAATCACACTGCGATTCTCCAGCAGAGGTTCTTGGGAGCAGGTAAGAGCCGCTGGTTAGAGTAGGACACTGCTCTCCCTCCCCCTCTGCCCGCAGAGCCTCTCCCTGAATCTGAAGGCCGAGACCACCCCCTCCCTCTGGGGGAAGTGCGGTTGCCGGCAGCCCCCCTCTCTTCTCGGGGGCACCGCTCCCGCCCGGGGAACAGGACACAAGCCTCCCAAGACAAGGGCTATGCTTTATAGAAGGGGTCTTCATATTTAGAACCAACACTGGAAGCAATATAAGGATATAACACAGCGATTGTTCTAAATGGTTATAAGAAAACGTCAAAAACGATAACTCTCAGAAACTGGTAGCATACTACACACGAGAGTAGGTGGTTTTGTTTATGGAACGTTCTACCAGCCCATCATTTCATTCACAGGTAGGAACCTGTCCATATATCCACGTTCTTCACGGAGTGGATAAGCAAGGAAACAGCAGTAACTGGAATTTCGTCGGCACATTTCTTCTTTAGGTCCCGTTCCCCCGGAGCCACCCCCAGCGATGCCTCTGAGCAGCCTCTGAGCATTGTTCTGTTCCCTCTTTCCGCAGAGCAGGGATGAGAGCGTACCCTTAGGGTTGCCACAGGGTCACATAAGGAGGACAGAGCCCTGAGCCTTCAGGCGCCTGTAGAGGTTGCCATCACCCGCCCACCCCTGCGCTGCCTGATCCTCAGGCTCAGACAACAGGAACTAGATTATCCCACCCACGCCTGTCTGTTCACTAGCCGTTGCCCCGTGGCCACTAAACTGCATTTAAAGTTTCAGCAAACACAGGTTCTGGTTTATTCAGAACTGTTACATCGTCCACAGTGAGGTCATGGTGCCGCTGGGCTGGGCAGTGCAGCCAGTAGGCGTCATGAGCATAGAATTTGATGCCACTCTCTACTTAGAGAAAGAGTTGGCATTTTGTTCAGTTTTGTTTTCCCTCATACTTGGCTGATGTTTTCCATTAACTATTCTACCCTGTGGGTGGATGTGTTCACCTTTACCAAGACGAGTCGGACCTGCTCGAGGCCCTGCCCGCCGCCATGCAGTCAGCCCTGGCCGTGGACATGAACTTCAGCGTCCTCAGCAACATCGACCTGTTCAAGGCAAGTGCTTCGCGACAAGTAGAAAGACACCATCACTGTTTCTCTGTAAAGTCTAAGCTCTTGCTGTACGCAATATTTATGGTTTTCTCCCTACGTGTTAACAAAATCAAAATGATCTGGAGGATTTATGTGGAACTAGAGTCAAATAAACACTGGGTCTCCCCTCAGCAGATGCCTTATTCTTTGGAAGCCTCTCTCTCCTGAGGGCCAAAGAGAAAGACTTCCTCGGGCTCTTCCTGCGCCATTTAAATACCGTCAGACCCTGCGTCTGTCTGCTGCTCCATCTCCGTCCTCCGCTTGTGTTGTTGGATGTGTGTGGGCCTCAACAGGTGGCCCAGACTTCCTCTGCAGGGCCTGGCGATAAGTGAGCCCTGCCTGCTCTGTCTCCTGTTACAGGTGCTCCTGAGCGAAACTTTTTGATGCCCAATTCTAATTTAGAGGCTATAAAAATGCAGAGCAAAGTTTTAACTTTTTGAATGTTTTTCATTTTGGCGCCCTCTTTTTTACCTCAATATATTTTATTTTTTAATTTATTTTATTGTTGAGAGAATTACAGATGTCCCCCATTTTCCCCCCTCTGTCCCCCTCCACCTGCTCCCACCCCATCCCAGGCCTCCACCTGTCTATTGTCTGTGTCCATGGGCTATGACTAAGTTGTACTTCTAAACCCCTTCACCTTTTTCACCCATCCCCCCACACCCCTCCCATTTGGAAACTGTCAAAAATGTTGTGTTTCTGTTCTGCTTGTTCATTTATTTTGAATTTTAGATTCAATTGTTGATAGATATGTATATACTGCCATTTTATTATTCCTATTCTTGATTTTTTTTCTCTTCTTATTCTTAAAGAAGATCCTTTAATATTTTATGTAGTACTGGTTTGGTGGTGATGAACTCCTTTAGCTTTTTCTTATCTGTGAAGCTCTTTATCTGACCCTCAATTCTTTTTTTTTTTTTAATTAAGTCTTTATTGTTCAGATTATTACATTTGTTCCTCTTTTTTTTCCCCCCATAACTCCCCTCCTCCCAGTTCCCTCCCCACCCTCCGCCCTCACTCCCCACCCACTGTCCTCATCCATAGGTGCACAATTTTTGTCCAGTCTCTTCCCGAATCTCCCACACCCCTTCCCCCGCCAGGAATAGTCAGTCCATTTCCTTTCTATGTCCCTGATTCTATTATAATCAACAGTTCATTCTGTTCATCAGATTATTTATTCACTTGATTCTTAGATTCACTTGTTGATAGATGCATATTTGTTGTTCATAATTTGTATCTTTACCTTTTTCTTCCTCTTCCTCTTCTTAAAGGATACCTTTCAGCATTTCATATAATCCTGGTTTGGTGGTGATGAACTCCTTTAGCTTTTCCTTATCTGTGAAGCTCTTTATCTGACCTTCAATTCTGAATGATAGCTTTGCTGGATAAAGTAATCTTGGTTGTAGGTTCTTGGTATTCATCACTTTGAATATTTCTTGCCACTCCCTTCTGGCCTGCAAAGTTTCTGTTGAGAAATCAGCTGACAGTCGTATGGGTATTCCCTTGTAGGTAACTGAGTTTCTTTCTCTTGCTGTTTTTAAGATTCTCTCTTTATCTTTTGCTCTTGGCATTTTAATTATGATGTGTCTTGGTGTGGTCCTCTTTGGATTCCTTTTGTTTGGGGTTCTCCGCGCTTCTTGGACCTGTAGGTCCATTTCTTTCACCAGGTGGGGGAAGTTTTCTGTCATTATTTCTTCAAATAGGTTTTCAATATCTTGCTTTCTCTCATCTTCTGGCACCCCTATAATTCTGATGTTGGTACGCTTGAAGCTGTCCCAGAGGCTCCTTACACTATCCTCGCATTTTTGGATTCTTTTTTCATTTTGCTTTTCTGGTTGGGTGTTTTTTGCTTCCTCGCATTTCAAATCATTGACTTGATTCTTGCGCTCCTCTGGTCTGCTGTCGGGAGTCTGTATAATATTCGTTATTTCAGTCCGTGTATGCTAATTTCTAGTTGGTTCCCCAATATAAGATCGAGGGTCTCATTAGTTTTCTTGTAGATCTCATTAAGTTTATCGGCGGCTTCTAAACAGTTCTTGAGAGACCTTAAAAGTGTGGTTCTGAACTCTATATCTTCCATTGACAATTTTGTCCTGTTTTTTTGTCTCCGCATTTTGTTATGCTTCCTTGGTGCACCCCCTCGTGGTCTTTGTTCGCAGTCTTATAGTTAAATCTTGATTGTTGTAGCTAATTCCAGGGAGGGTTTGACCTCCAGGCCAAGTGGCTATGAGAATCAGCTGTGTCAGCAGTGAGAGAACTTCTGTCCTCTAGGGAGGTGCTAATCTAGCCTTTGCCTGAGGCTATCCGGCAAATGCCTGTGTGCAGGGCTTGGGCGGAGCGGGTCGCACAGGATCAACAGGGTGGGCCGGAGAGAGCAGTTATGGCGGCTCTCAGTCCTGTCCCCAGGGGCTCTGCCTCTCTGAGTCCCAGCACCTGTTGCAAAGCTCGGAGAGAAAGCTGCACTCGCTCTGACCGAAGCCAGACAGTCCCGCTGCTCCCGTTTGAGTCTGGGTCCCTAAAGACTCGCCCGGATCTGGAGCTCAGAGTCTGCGACTCCCTCCCGATTGAAAACGCCAACCGCACCCTCCGCCGCCAGCCCACTCCGCGCACTCCACACCTCAGAATTTGACTTCAGCACTGTGCCTTCTCTGAGTGTCCGTATGCGTTTCTCTTTCCTCCTAGTTGTAGGACTTCCACTCAGCCGGCGTTCCTGTGGTTCTGGGTGCTGTCCCTTCTGGTTTTTGGTTTCACTTTTGAAGTAGTTGTTCAAAGCAGCAAACTCCGGCGTTAACCTATGCCGCCATCTTGGTTCTCCTCCTGACCCTCAATTCTAAATGATAGATTTGCTGAGTAGAGTAATCTTGGTTGTAGGTCCTTGCTTTTCATCACTTTGAATATTTTCTTGCCACTCCCTTCTGGCCTGCAAAGTTTCTATTGAGAAATCAGATGACAGTCATATGGGCACTCCCTTGTAGGTAACTGTTTTTCCCTTGCTGCTTTTAAGATTCTCTCTTTGTCTTTAACCTTTGGCATTTTAGTTATCATGTGTCTTGGTGTAGGCCTCTTTGGATTTATCTTGTTTGGGACTCTCTTTGACATGTTTCTTTGTCTCCACATTTTGCTGCTTTTCTGTGTTTGTTTCTATGTATTAGGTAGATCTGCTAAGTCTCCCAAACTAGGTACAGTGGCCTTGTGTAGTAGATGTCCTGGAGGACCCAGTGGTTCAGCCTCCCCTCTCACCTGATCTGGGCACTCCAGGTGCACCCCTGTGTGAGCTGTGTTCACTGTCATATTGTAGTTGAGCCTTGATTTATGTTGGTGTCACTGGGAGGAATTAACCCCCAGGCCAGTCAGTAGCAAGGATCAGCTGCACTACAGTGGAAGAGCTGCTGTGTAGGATCCAACCCTATGGAGCAGGCCTTGTTACAGTGGGGGCTTTGGTGCTCACCCAGTCCACCCCTTGTTTGTTATATTTCTCTCTGTTCCACATCCAGCGTGGCTAGAGAGTGGTCTGCTTCCTAAGTAGGGGCGGCTGGGGATTGAGAAAATGAAAGAAGAGACAGACACAGAGATAGAAGGAAAAAGCTGGGGCCGGGTGGGACAGCTGTCCTCTGATGGAGAGACAGTGACCTAGAGCCAATACAGCGCATTTATTTTATACAGCAAAATACCAGGAAGTTTTACTAAAGCCCAAGACATAGGAGATTATGTGCATTCTTGTGGCTTCTTTGTAATTGTCACTTCTGGGTAGGCCCAGATAATCATCGTGTTTGTTCCTGGTGCTTGGCTGGATTTAGATCATGAAACCCACCCCCTGGAGCCTGAGCTGAAGGTCAGGCTGACAACACCTGCCTCTGGCAAGGTATGTTTCCAGGGCGTGGCTCTGTCAAGGCCACTGGATTCAGCTGACAGTAATTAAAGAAATGCTCATGTGCCTTCCCAGGCACTCTCTACAGTTTGTGTCAATCGTGGAGGTGGTACAGTTGTAATCTGATGTGGTTGAAGTGACCACCTGGTGCACTGGGAAGTACAAAGTCAACCACTGACTGTACCCTGCCTGAGCTAGAAAGCAATCTTCAGATGGCTTCTACTTATGTTGGCCTTGTAGGTGCCCAGGAGAGGCCAAGCCATGAACCAGGGCAGGCTGCCACCAGAGCTGGGCCTGGGGCCACTTACTGAGAGGTACAGAGCATGCTGAGGCCAGCTGCTGCTTGTTTGAGAGATTTTAGGAAAGTCTGAAGCATGAGGCAAGAGAGGCCAGTTGTATGGAAACGCCACTGGATATGGCTTGGATGAGCCTGCAAGCAGAGAGGGGCAGGGCCTCAGAGAATCACCAGGCAGGGTTAAAAGTGTGAGCCAGATTGATGGAGATTCAGATATGGAGCCTTGACTGTGGCAGGGAGGGCTCAGCAAAGGAACAGTGGCCTCTGCTAGGCCTCTGTCTTGGAGAAAGCTGCCCCTCCAGCTCTTGCCCTGATTCCAGGCCAGTTAGTTCCTCCCCTAATGTCCCAGGTTCCTTGCAAGCTGGAGCTCTGAGGGAGTGATTCCAGGCCCTTTAAGGGGAACTGCCTGGGACTCCAGCAGCCTCCATTCACTAAGTCACACTCCCCGCTGGTTTTTACAGCCAGAAGGTGTGGGGACTTCTCTCCGAGGTACTGGAATCCTGAGCTGGGGGGGGACGGGGAGGGGCTGGTTTGGAGCAGGGACCCCCTCATTCCTCAGGGAAACTTCCACAGCCAAAATTTCCTTCCTGATTTTAAATCTTCCACACGTGGGTGTCAGACCCATGGTTCAGCAGTTCCCCCCACATCTCTACCCCTCCTACCAGTCTCCTCCACCAGTCTCAGTGCTTCTTCTTTAATTCCCCAGTTGCAGAACTTCCATTCAGTTAGATTGCAGGTTCTGAATGATGACTGTTCTGTATTTTAGTTGTAATTTTTGTGTGGTGTGGGAAGATGCGAGTACTGAGTTTACCTATGCTGCCATCTTGACTGGAACCTAGCACCCTCTTCTTAAAAGTACACTGGACTTGAGTTTTTTCTCCTAACAATTGGTTCTGTGTGGGATCCACCTACTTAATTCATTCACAGTTATTTATTAAGTTCCTGCTGTGTTTTGTACCTCCTGGGACTGTTTCAGCCACTGAGAATACAGTATTTTACAGCAAATACCAGCACATGCAGAGCTTAAACTCCAAAGGAGGAAAATGAAAAATAAACATGCAATGTGTGAGGGGCATAGTGCCATGAACAAAGGAAGCAGGTTCAGAAGAAGGAGGATGGAGCTGGTCCTGATGCAGTGCTGACTGGAGAGGTGGGGCAGGGGCCCTGCAGACTGGAGAGGGGGAGGAAGGGGGAGGAGAGGGGGGAATGAACCCTGCAGACTGGAGAGGGAGGGAGGAAGGGGTGGGAGTGAGCCCTGCAGACTGGAGGGGGGAGGGGGAAATGAGCCCTGCAGACTGGAGGGGGGAGGGGGAAGTGAGCCCTGCAGACTGGAGGTGGGGAGGAAGGGGGAGAGGTGGCAGGAGGGCCGGAAGCCTGGAAGCCTGGAAGCCTGGTGCTGGGAGGCGGGAGCCAGGCAGAGCGATGGGGAAGAGGGGAGGCTGGCGTGGAGACTCAGTGCAGACAGACGGGGTGGTGCTGTGAAGTGAGGCCACTGCAGGCCTTGGGCAGAAGGCGACCGATTTGAGAGCAGTTTGGGAAATGCCATCCTTCCTGCTGCCTGGGAAATAGGCCCGAGGAAGGCCCAGTAGGAGTTGCCGTGACCATCTATGCAAGAGGTGACAGAGACCCGACCCAGAGCCGTGCGAGCCGAACTGTTCATAAATGGCCAAATGGTTCTCGCTTCGGCAGCACATACACTAAAACTGGAACGATACAGAGAAGATTAGCATGGCCCCCTGCACAAGGATGACATGCAAATTCGTGAAGCATTCCATATTTTAAAAAGAAAAGAAATAAATGGCCAAATATTGGCTGGATCTGGAGGGGAGAGCCGGCATTGGCTGGTGGGCTGTGTGCTGGGCGGGGAGAGTCAGATGATGGTTCTATGATGACTGAGATCAGATAAATGATTCCTTCTTGTGGGGGTCAGAGGGAGACCAACTAGGAAGAGGCAAGAGGACCTCTGTGGGTGATGGAATTTTTTGGCTTGCTAGGAAAGTTATACAGTGTCTGCATTTATCAAAACTGAGCCAACTGTTCCTTAAAATTTATATATTTCACTGCATATAAATTATTATTCAATTTTTTAAAAAGAATGGCCTGAAGAAAATGTGGAGATTGTAAAGAGGGAGAAGAAACCAAGATGGCGGCATAGGTTAACGCCGGAGATTCCTGCCTCGAACAACCACTTCAAAAAACAACTAAAGACGGAATGGACATCATCCAGAACCACAGGAAGGCTGGCTGAGTGGAAATTCTACAACTAGGAGGAATGAGAATATCATACCCAGACTCAGAGGAGGCGCAGTGCTGAAGTGAAATACTCAGATGCCGAGTGCGCGGTTGTTGTTTTCAACTGGGAGGGAGTTTCAGACTCTGAGCTCCAGATCCGGGCGAGTCTCTAGGGACCCAGACTCAAATGGGAGAAGCAGGACTGTCTGGCTTCGGTCGGAACTCGAAGGCAGCTTTCTCTCCGAGGTTTGCAGCGGTTGCTGGGACTCTGTGAGGCAGAGCCCCTAGGGACGGAACTGAGAGCAGCCATAACTGCTCGATCCGGCCAGCCCTGTAGATCCCCTGGGACCTGCTCCGCCCAAGCCCTGCACAGAGCCATTTGCCAGATAGCCTCAGGCAAATGCTAGATTAGCACCGCCCTAGAGATCCAGCACAGAAGCTCTCCCACTGCAGACACAGCGGACTCTCATAGCCAGTTAGCCTGGAGGTCAAATCACCCCCGGTATTGCCGTCAACAATCAAGGCTTAACTACAACAAGACTTCGCACAAAGACCACTAGGGGGTGTACCAAGAAAAGATAAAAAAAATGCGGAGACAAAGAAACAGGACAAAACTGTCAATGGAGGATATTGAGTTCAGAACCACACTTTTAAGGTCTCTTAAGAACTGTCTAGAAGCCGCCGATAAATGTAGTGAGATCCTCAAGAAAACTAATGAGACCCTCGATGTTATGATAAAGAACCAACTAGAAATTAAGCATACACGGACTGAAATAACAAATACTATACAGACTCCCAACAGCAGACCAGAGGAGAGGAGCGCAAGAATCAAGGCAAAGATTTGAAATGAGAAGAAGCAAAAAACACCCAACCAGAAAAGCAAAATGAAAAAGAATCCGAAAATACGAAGATAGTGTAAGGAGCCTCTGGGACAACTTCAAGCGTACCAACATCAGAATTATAGGGGTACCAGAAGGAGAGAGAGGGCAAGATATTGAAAACCTATTTGAAGAAATAATGACAGAAAACTTCCCCCACCTGGTGAAAGAAATAGACTTACAGGTCCAGGAAGCGCAGAGAACCCCAAACAAAAGGAATCCAAAGAGGACCACACCAAGACACATCATAATTAAAATGCCAAGAGCAAAAGACAAAGAGAGAATCTTAAAAGCAGCAAGTGAAAGAAAGTCAGTTACCTACAAGGGAATACCCATACGACTGTCAGCTGATTTCTCAACAGAAACTTTGCAGGCCAGAAGGGAGTGGCAAGAAATATTCAAAGTGATGAATACCAAGAACCTACAACCAAGATTACTTTATCCAGCAAAGCTATCATTCAGAACTGAAGGTCAGATAAAGAGCTTCACAGATAAGAAGAAGCTAAAGGAGTTCATCACCACCAAACCAGGATTATATGAAATGCTGAAAGGTATCCTTTAAGAAGAGGAAGGAGAAGAAAAAGGTAAAGATACAAATTATGAACAACAAACATGCATCTATCAACAAGTGAATCTAAGAATCAAGTGAATAAATAATCTGGTGATCATAATAGAATCAGGGACATAGAAAGGGAATGGACTGACTATTCTTGGGGGGGAAAGGGGTGTGGGAGATGCGGGAAGAGACTGGACAAAAAATCGTGCACCTATGGATGAGGACAGTGGGTGGGGAGTGAGGGCGGAGGGTGGGGCAGGAACTGGGAGGAGGGGAGTTATGGGGGGGGGGAAAGAGGAACAAATGTAATAATCTGAACAATAAAGATTTAATTTAAAAAAAAAATGTGGAAATGCTGAGGATCTCCACGGAGCTCCAGTGATGGTACAGAGCTCTCTCTGTTAGGGGCAGCCTTGCAGGCTCTGGGGGCATGGCTTCCAGTAACGGGGTCCCAACCAGCATATCAAGCAAGAGAAAATGCGAGGGTGCCTCTCACACAAGTGAGGTAGGCATCATATTATAAAATGTTTGCTTATTTATTTTTAAATACAAACATAAATATGGGACAATATGTCTGTTGCTATAGGTTATCTACATATATAAAAGCCTAAGTGACCGAATGACCAGTCGCTATGACACACACTGACCACCAGGGGACAGGCGCTCAATGTAGGAGCTGCCCCCTGATGGTCAGTGCACTCCCACAGCCAACCTCCCAATCCAGCCAACCTCCCACGGTTCCTCCCCCCAGCCAGCCAACCTCCCGCAGCCCCTGTCAGCCCTGATCGCTGGCCAGGCCGAGGGACCCCACCTGTGCACCAATTCGTGCACCAGGCCTCTAGTGGTAAAATAAAATGGTATGAAAGCAACAAGGTTAAATTATTTTAACAGTATTTTTATTTTATTTTATTGAACTTATTGGGGTGACATGTCTACACTAATAAAAGAGAAACATGGTAATTGGCATACAACCGCAACCCTTTTCATTGGCTAATCAGCGAGATATGCAAATTAACTGTTTAACTGTCAGCCAAGATGGCGGCCGGCAGCCAGGCAGCTTGAAACTAACATGAGGCTTGCTTGCCTCAGTGACGGAGGACTCCAACGTTCCCAGCCGGCCACTGCAGGACCCTGAGCCTGCAGTTTCAAACATTGTAACAAATATAGGCTAAACAAAACCCCAGAAACCAGCTTTCAGTGGGCTGGGATCTCAGAGTTGGAGTTGATACAGAGTTTCGAGAACTGAAACAAACCAGATACCTGCTTTCAGGAGCGGAGGCCTAAGAGCTGGAGCCTCAGAGCTAAAGCTGGCACAGAATAAAAAAAAAAGAAAGAAAGAAAGGAGCGGTTGGGAGCTTCAGTCCCAGCCTGAAAACAGCCCTCAGCCCCTCACCCAGACTGGCCAGGCACCCCAGTGGGGACCCCCACCCTGATCCAGGACACCCTTCAGGGAAAACCAGCTGGCCCCACCCATGCACCAGGCCTCTACCCTATATAGTAAAAGGGTAATATGCCTCCTGGCACTGGGATCAGCGTGACCGGGCAGCGCCCAAACCCCCTGATCGCCCTGCAGCTCTGTGTGTGACAGGGGGCGGGGCCCCAACCCCCTGAGCAGCCCTGCTCTGTGCCTGATAGTGGGGAGCTCCCCAACCCCCCCCCCCACGGGCCCTGCTCTGTGTGTGATGGGGTAGAGCCATAACCTCCCCATCGGCCCTGCCCTGAGTGTGAGAGTGGCGGTGCCCCAACCCCCTGATCGGCCCTGCTCTGTGGGTGATAGAGGGTGGTGCCCCAACCCCCTGATGGGCTCTGCTCTGTGTGTGATGGGGGCAGCACCCCAACCCCCGGATTGGCCCTGCTCTGTGCGTGACAGGGGGTGGCGCCGCAACCTCCCCATCGACCCTGCCTTGAGTGTGACAGGGGACAGTGCCCCAACCCCCCAATTGGCCCTACTCTGAGCGTGACTGAGGGTGGCATCACAACCTCCCAATCTGCCCTGCTCTTTGCATGACAGGGCGGTGCCCCAACTCCCCAATTGGCCCTGCTCTGAGCCCGACCAGGGACTGCACCTAGGGATTTGGCCTGCCCTCTGCCACCCGGGAGCAGGCCTAAGCCAGCAGGTTGTTATCTCCCGAGGGGTCCCAGACTGCGAGAGGGCACAGGCCGGGCTGAGGGACCCCCCTCCCCCCCGAGTGCACAAATTTTTGTGCACGGGGCCTCTAGTATAACAATAAAAGTGTAATATGCTAATTAGACTGGACGTCCTTCTGGATGACCTTCCGGACAAAGCCGGGGCTTCGAGGGTAGCCCGGGCCCCAGGTGCCAGAGGGAGTCTGGTGCTGGCAGCCGGGGAAAGGAAGGCCTGCTCTTGCACAAATTTTGTGTATGGGGCCTCTAGTTGGCTAATAAAATTATATAGGTTTCAGGTGTGTAATTCTGTGGTACATCATCTGTATATTGTATTGTATTCACCACCCCAAGTCAAATCTCCTTCCATCACCATTTATCTCCCTTTACCTCCTCCACCTCCCCTCACCCTCTTCCCTTTAGTAATCACCATACTTTAACAGTATTTTTAAATTATATAAATGACTTTATACCTTAATAACTAGCTTAATTGAAAATAAGTGACTACAATGGGCCCTTTTTTATTTATATTTTTATTGCTTTTAGAGAGGAAGGAAGAGGGAGAGAGATAGAAACATGAATGATGAGAGAGAATCATTGATTGGCTGCCTCCTGCACGCCCCACACTGTGGATTGAGCCTGTAACCTGGGCACTGTCCTGACCGGAAAGCAAACCGTGACCTCCTGGTTCATAGGTTAACGCTCAACTACTGAGCCACGCCAGCCAGGCTTGGCTCTTTTTTAAAGAAAAAAAACCTTTAAATGTTATATCAATGATTTATGGGATTATCTCTGATTTGGAAAGTTACCAATTTTCAGCCTCAGAGCTTTCCTTTGTTTTCATATATATATTTTTGGAACTCCATAAAGTCAGCAACATCTGATTGGGAGAAAAGGTTAAATCGTCACATCTTACGGACACTGCACATGAAGTTAAATCCGTTCTTTCCTGACATTCCCATTGGAGATGCAGTTCACCCAGAAGGCCCAT